CGCTCCTCACCCATCCTTTTCGGCTGCAGCCCCAGGCTGGCTGGCTGCCGCCGCGGTAGGTACCGGAGCATGGCGTGCTCACAGGCACAACCCGTGTCATTCGCAGCCAGTGGAAAATGTCTAAGGGCTGGGAGCTTTGTAGTTAAAAATAGCTGTGGCATCAAGAAGGCAGAAAACCCAAAGCTTTTGGGTACATGGGGCTGAAGCAAGGGAAATGAGGATGCTCAAGGCAGAAATGGGGTTAAAGGGTGGAGAGTGCCCGTAGTGCTGGCATCAGAGCTGTGTTGTGGGCACACCAGCTGTGTTTGGTGTTGAGCCTCTGGGTTTGCGAGCACCATGCAGGGTTTTCTGCTCTGTCTCTCACAACTTCAGATTGCACCTCCTCGTTTGGACTTGACCCTGAGGGAGCTAGGATCCTGTGTGCAGTTTGACTCAGGGTGAAATTTGGAGGAGAAAGGGAGGTGGAGGGGAAGGGGTGAGTCTGGGCAGGGCAAGTGAGAACCCTGATGAATATGTGTCCCCCTTTACTCCCAGCCCAGCTCTTTCTTTGGTGGCTTTGGGTGTTTTCTGCCCCAAGGGTGGGTGCAAAGCTGAGTGTCCCTTGGAGCAGATGTTACCTCTGCTTTCAGAAGTAATCCGAGCACTTCATTCATTGTTGGCAGCGGCACTGAGTTGGAAGCAAAACCCCGCATCTGCTGAATATTGCCTCTTAAACACAAGAAACCCAGAACACTGCAAAAATTACATCTCTCGGTTTGGGTACTGCCACAGCCAGCACTGCCCGCGGGAGCCGGGGCACTTCCCTGCCTCCCTCCCTCCCTCCTCCTGTTTGGTCTCATCCCTCATTTCTCAGCCTAGTTTTCCATCTAATCCTGTATCTATTCAAGGAATGGTCTGAGTTCCTTTTCTGGTTGGTGATGCTGAGGTCATGGTCCTATAGCCTCAGGCCAGTGCTGGAGGGACAGGAGAGACTTTCCAACTCTGCCTGCAAGTCCTAGGGCTGATATTGGTGGTGATTTCTGAAAAGGGAAGATAAATTTCTTAATGGTAGGGATTTTTGAAAGCATTGGCAGTTTGAATTGCTTGGTCAGACAACCCATGTGAAAAATGCTTCTTCCTGCTTTTTATTGCTCTGAACAAAAGTTAATGTAACAGCTGCCTTGTCCTGCTGGATGGGGCTGGCTGAGCTGGGATGTTGTGAGCCTGGCCTGTGTTTGCAGCATCCCCGCTGCCTGAGGGGGATGAACGCACTGGGATCACAGCAGGGAAATGTGGTGAAGCAGCAGGGCTGGTGCTAAGGGCTGAGGGGGCTGCAGCCATGGCCGACTGTCCTCTGTGCTGGGAGCAGCCTGGCAAGCCTGGCCAGGATCCTCCAGGATGGGTACCTGGCTGCTCACGTACACGCAAGGAGGGCACAGGCAGTTGGAAAGGGATGGCATCATAAACTCTAGGTCACTCTGCCCTGTCAGATGGTCTCAGGCTGGAAATGGCAAATACCGTGCCCTGGGCAGCCCCTGCCTGCTCTGTGCTCCCGGCATGGAGCGGTGGGCAGAGCCGGAGCACCCCAGCAGGCACCTGGGCACATAGTGGGCTGCACCGCAGGGCACTGCCCTGGCCCAGGATGCGGTCCCTCTGCTCGCTTTCAGAGGCAACATCAGCTGGAGGAAGGATGACTTGAACATTAAAATACAGCATAGATTTAAAAATATTACAACCCCCAAAGTCTATTTTCCCCAGTACAGGTGTTCTGGGTTAATTTTAGGTAGCTCAGAGCATGTTTGCTCTGCTGAAACCATTTCACAGTACAGTTACTACCCCTGAGGATCCTCCTCCAGCTGGCAGGCACACACTCAAGAGGGGAGAGACATGGGCTGATGTACCTCCCCGTCATCCAGAGTGATGCTGCGGACTGGCCTAGCATCCCTGGTTCTTGCTTGTACAGCTGTTTCTGAGACCTGTGCCCACTGTAACCATGTCTATTCCTTGTTTCCTCTCTTCCAAACAGTGACCTTCTTCCCAGCAGTGTTAACTCTCCCTGCTGGCAGCTCAGCCACCTTCTTCTGCAATATTTCCATGGAGAATGACTCTGGCTCGGAGTACAGCCTCAATTGGTACAAGGAGACCAACCACAGCCAAACCCAAAAAATCGCTGAGATCAGCCGGAACAACCCCCAAACGAAGACAGGGAAGTACCTGCTCACCAACCACACTCCTGCCTTCAAGATCAAGATCCTGAACCTCCACCAGAACGACTCAGGCTCCTACTACTGCGGACTGATCACCTTCTTTGAACCCGATAAAGTGATGGAGAGCAACCGGTCCCACCTGGTGGTCACAGGTCAGCCTGGGGGCTGAGCTGATGGGGACAGGTCGTTGGTGTCGTCCCATAGTGCTACTGCTCCCAAGCACACTGCAGCCCGAGGGCATAAGGCAGGCAGTACCCCGCTGGGGGAGGACCTGGTGTGGGTCAGGAGAGCATAGCTCTGTCCTTTTCCCTCTCCTTTGCATGCAGGAATGTCCTGGTCTGGCCAAAACAGGATTAGGGTTGAGGCCCAGGTACACAGGCTGTCCTCCCGCATCCACACTGCAGCTGGATCTGGTCCTGAGGCAGGAGGTCTCCATGCTGCTGCGGCTGTGTCCTCAGTGATGCTGTGGGGAGGAGCGAGTCCTTACCCATGGAGGGGGGCAGGAGACCAGCGTAGGGAGCTATGCCTTCACCCCTGAACAGCTCCTTTGGGGACAGAGATTGTTTGGGGTGACGACCAGGGCTCAGACCCCTTGAACAGCCAGTGTTGGTGTAGGTACTGTTGTTGCAAAACCATGTCCTGGGAGGGTCTCATAGCCCCATGGCATGGGAAACAGATCTTGCAGCAAGATCTGCCATGCCCTTGCTTGGCAGCATGGAGGCTTTGCGGGGCTGAAGGTGGCCTTGTATAAAAAGGAAGAACACTGCAAAAGTCACTGTCTTTCACAACATCTCTTCCCAATGTGCGCTGATGTTCTACTGGCAGAGAGGCTTGGGGAAGCTGTGTCGTTCGTGAGGCTCTGCTGGGTATGGGGTCATGCTGCAGGACTGCTTGCGGGTGCAGAGCCGTGCCCTGACCCTCTGCACCCCAGCTCTCAGCCGTGTGGGATCATCCTCACCACGTGCAATGGGAAGGAATGGAACATGGCCAAAACATCCCCCATGTCAGCCTAAATTCAGGGCTCCTGGAGAGATGGTGGGGCTGTGGCAGCCTGCCTGGGACTGAGCCCTTTCTAGGGATAGCCTCCATATTCCCCAGTTGCTTTTCACAAGGACTATAGAGGCCATTTTACACTCCTGACCTGCTGTTTTGTTCCCCCTTTTTTGGATGACTATTGCAGCAGCCCCTGAAAAGATGAATGCCACTGACGAGCCCGAGATGGAGGAAGGCAACACCCTGGACCACATCAAGGCCGTGCTCCTGGGCATCCTGCTGCTGGCTGGGGCGGTTGTGCTGCTGATCTTTGGCTACCTCACTGTCACGTACAGGAGAGGAGGTATGATCCCCCGTGAGGGCCATGCTGCACCGAGGGGCTGGGGTCTGCCAGAAGACCTGATGGGTGATGCTCATCCAGCAAGCCCAGCTGGGACCTGGAGGTAGCCAGATGCCTGCAGCTCCCTGGGGTACACGGGCTGGTTCAATGTGCTAAACTCAGCTGTGGCATGTCCCCATGGGACAGGTGTCTCCATGCCTATGGGAGAAGGGTGCTTTGGGCCCTGCTTGCCCTTCGTAGAGACCCAAGAGCACATGCTGTGGCTCTGCATTGGTCATTAGTGTGGTGCCTTAATGCTGCCTGTGAGTGCCTTCCATGCACCTTGCCTGGGCACCTTTGGGGGACCTCATCATCTCCCCACTGCGCCACAGGCACCCAGGGGGGCTCTCCCAGAGGGGCCTCCTGAGGAATTGCACCCCAATTAAACCCTAGATCATGGGCTGGTATCTCACTTGTCCCTCTAAAGCTCAGGGTATTAGACCCTGAGTGGAGAAGGAGGAAGTGTGGTGCAATGGTTGTGGTGTCCAGTGCCCTCCTAGGACATGGAGACTGGGTCAGCCCCAGCCCCGGATGCTCTCGCTGTCTTGGCATACAAGCATCTTCTAACTAAACGTGTTACTTTGCAGATGTGCAGAAACCACCAAGTGAAAACATGCCAGCGGTGAGTTTTCTGTCTCTAACACCCTGCCGTGCTGCAGGGGAGTATCGTGGCGTCGCTGGGGTGCGGAGGGTGCAGGGCCTCCCTTTATCAGCCCTTCACAGGCTTCTCGCTTCTGTCTTCTCTGATGCTGCTTGATCTTTTCTGCACAGCTATAACTGCTCTCCTGCACCTGCAGTACAACCCCATCACAAAATCAAAAAAACTGCCTGAGATAAGATGGGACATCTCTAGTCCAACCCTTGCTCAAAGCGGGGTTATCTTTGACAGCGGATTGTGTTGCTGTAGAAAATGGGAGGAAATGTTCCCCCCCGATATATTAAGCTAAAGTTTCTTTTGCTGTAGCTAGTGCCTATTTCCTCTCTTCCTTTAGCCAGGCACCACCGGGAGGAGTCTGGGTCCATCTTCTCTCCAACCCCATTAGGTAGCTGAGGGCAGCAAGTAGGTCCCCCTTTGGTTTCCCTTCTCTGGGCTGAGCAAACTCAGCCCCGCGCTCTCCTCGTGCACCCTGTGCCAGCTCGAATCCCAATGGGGAGATGGGAAAAGGGCTCCTAGCACAACCCTGCCTTGCATGGCTGGGCAGGTGGGGAGCCCAACCTGCCTACACAGGCAGAGAGCTGGGACCCACATGGCTTCAGTAGTGACCTCAAGGCTCATGGTCTGTTTTTTTGGGGCAAATGCTATCCCAAGTCTGTGCATCTTTCTGCTTTGCATCGCCCTTGCCCTCCTGGGATGCTTCAGAGCTGGTTTTGGCACTTGCTGTAAAAAGGGGCTTGTGCTGGGGGTGGCAGGTAGCTCCGGATGACAAATCGCCCCGATGGGGTTTCCTTGCAGAAGGAAGAGAAGCCTCCTGGGGCATCCGTGTCCACTGTGGACTATGGCGTGCTGGAGTTTCAGTGGGACCAGCGCACCCAGGTCCTCCCCGCGACCCAGCCAGTTGACCAGACCGAATATGCCACCATCATCTTCCCAGAGGAGAAACCCATCACACCGGAGCGGGGGAAGAAACATCAGGATGAGAGGACTTGGCAGCTGCAGTCGCAGCCCTGCTGAGGGCCAGGCTCCCTCCTTACCGGGGTGTGAGGGCAGACACGGACTGCCCTGGCCCCTCGCTCCCACTGCAGTTTGTGGTTGGGAAAACTCCAGCGTGCCAGGACCAGAGACAGATGCCACTGCTGGAGTTGATGTTGGACAGTCCTGGCCACAGTGGGATCGTGGCCGTGGGGTGGGTACCATGGGACGAGGAAATTTCCTGCTGGACTCCACATGCTGCCTCTTTGCTCAGGACAGGGAGGATGGGCTGGGACAGAGCAGTGATGCCAATAGGTCTGTCCCAAAGGTGATTTATTTCTTGCCTCGGTTTTCTACCTCCACCTGGGGCTCTCTGGAGTGGCCACGCTGCTTCCCTCACCCAGGTCTGACCCAGCTAGCAAAGCCCGACTGTGAGCAGAAATGCTGGAGGGCAGATCTGGAGTGGATCCTGGGAGATGCTGCTCACGGGAACCCAAGGCTGAAGGCTTCTCCTCGCCCAGGGCAGAGACTACCTTGCATACCGCTATTTAAGGAAACCCCTGGGAAGCGGGTGGCTGGTTTTCTTCCTGTCTCCAGGCACTTTCCTCCTCTGAAGAGGGGAAATCGACCCCTGTGTCCCTCCCTCCACAGGTGGGAGACGTATCTGGCCCTTGGGGGTGAATAAAAGGTTTCATGTCCGGGGAGTTTGTTGACTTGTGATGGCAAGCGCGTGGGCAGGCAAATAACGGCTGTTGGCAGCGTGCAGGCGAGAGCCGGGAGGCGGCAGCGTCTGTTGTGGTTCCTGGGCCTCTCCGTGTGATACGCAATCCGCTCCTCGAACCTGCTCTTAATAATTTACAGAAGCTGCTGCTCTTTTTCCTCTTGCCTCTGTCTGAGCTGGTCACCCAGGTGCAGCTGCAAACCAAGCCCTCCCTTACCAGGCTCGTCTCGAGGCCCTCGCCCAGCCTGTTGGGAATGAGCATCCTTGCCATGCCAGGGGCCTGGCTGCCGTCAGCCGGGGCAAAGCTCACAGCATGGTGCTTGGTGCGGCTTTCTGGCGTCAAGACTTCCATTTTCCCTTTTGAAACCGATGCCGGGGCCATGCTGCCTGCCAGAAATCAGAACGGAAAGAAGTGACAACTGCTCGAGAGGGGAGAAACCCCAGTAAGGAGTGGCTTTGGAGGCAGCAGAGATCTGCTGGGAGACCATAAAACCCAGCGGAAACAGAGAAGAGTCACTTGCATCTCACACTTTGGCGGCACTGTCAGCAGGTTTCTTTTTCCCTTACCCCCAGTAAAACCAGTGCAGCCTTGCAGAAGCCAGCCCAAGTGCTGGGGCAAGGGGTGAGGCATGCCAGGCACCACAGTTTATGCCCTGCAGGGGATGGAAAATCCCTGAGAAACCTCCAGAGGGGACCAGATGGGATGAACAGCCATCTGGGATGGCTTTCACCCTTCCTCAGGGCAGGACAGTGGATGTGGTTGCCCTCCTCAGTCCCCAGTGCCACTGAAGGCTCCCAGTAGCCACCACAGGCAGTGCCATAACTCCCACAGCATTCACTCACACCAATGCATGGCTCAGCCCGTCAGGGCTTTTTGCAAGCAGCAGCCCTGCTTCTTGCCCCAGCGGCAACCTGCTGTGGCCGGCCAGGCTCGGCCCACCCCGGAAGCCTCAGCCGCAGCAGGCAAGAAGTGGGAACTCAGTCAGCAGTTTTGCTTTTGGCTTTCCCGTCAGATGCAACACCAGCGCGAAGGTGGGCCTTGCTTCGTATTTTCCGTCCGGCCTCTCGGGCAGTGGAGGTGCTGGGTGTTCAGCCCTTCCTGCACCCTCCAGCTGCAACCATGGTTCCTCCAGGAGCAGTCGGGGCTGGGTCCCTTCCCCTCTTGGTGGGTGATGGTTTGCAGCCAGCCAGAGGCTCCCAAGCCATCTGGTGGGGTTGGATGCAAAAACATCTCCCACTGCCATCTGGGATGGGAGAGCACCCAGCCCAGGGCACTGCCTGTGCCCCTCTGGCCCCCCAGCAGCCTGGCTGCAATCCTGCCCTTTGCAGGGAGCAAGGCTGGTGCCTGGGGATGCATGGGGTGAGTGGTGGGGATGCTCCAGGCTGCCAGGCACCGTCTCCCATCCCTATTTGGAGGACAGGGTGCCCAGCAATGGCAGAGACCCAAGCTGCCCTCCCCTGTGCTAGGCATGGCGCTCGGCCGAGCAGGAACAGAGTTGGAATGAGCTCTGGGTGGGATGCAGGTTTCAAGCCCCCAACTGAGCATCCCCAAACCTAGCAGTGCCCTGAGATGGGTGTCAGCCCCCACGCCCCAGCATCCTGCTTAGGGATGGGGACCTGAGTGCATTCATATGCAGGAGCTGCTCTTGTCTTTCTGTGCAAGCCAAGAGAGCAGCCACCCACAGTTCTTACTCTCCCTCCAGCACGGTGATAGTAGTTCAGTTTTCCTGGAGTCACTGCGTGGGATCTGGAGGAAGCTGTTCTACCCCTCGTCCTGAGAAGTCCCCAGTTCTGGCTTTCCCAGCTCCACCATCCCACATCCCTCCTTCCCCAGTCTCTCACTCCACATCACAGTTCTCCTACTTTTGCCCACCACTGCACCCATGACAGCTGGCCACCCACTATTTGTGCCAACTGGCAGGTTTATGCTCCTTTTCTCCACCCTAAATTCAGCAGGGACCCAAACAAATTCATTTCCACCTATGATGCTAAGGTTTGCATCAGGTTTTCAGGCTGGGGCTAAGCTGGAACCCTCAAGTCCTTTGGCTTTCCCTGCCTGCACCAAGAAAAGTCTGGGCTGCGATGGGCCTGGTATGATTTTGGGGTACATCCTTTCTGCCATAGCTGCTTTGCTGGCTCTGGAAGGGCATGGGTGGCAGGGTTTCTGTCGTCTTTGGTTTAGGCTGCAGAGAGGAGGTTTGCTGCAGAACAGTTAGGCAGATCCTACCACCTGGCTCTGGTTTTTGACCTTGCTCCCTGCAGCATCGCAGCTGCTGGGGCTGGCCCCTGTGCCCCAGAGCCATTGGCCACTGACAGTAAGAACAGGGTCCCAGCCTGGTCCTCAGCATCCCATTTCGGGAAAACAGGCTTACAAGCAGTGCAAGTGGGAGAAGAACAAGACCCTATAAAATTAAATAGCACCTGGACCTGACTCTTCTGCGCTCTCAGGATGTGCTGTCATTGGGAATGACTCCTGAAAGGCCAGAGGGTACAGGGCATAGGTTTGAGCCTGCCCACCTCATTCCTACCAGCACCATGACAGCAGTGATGGAGGATGCTCCTGACAGCCCCTTCCCCTGAACTTTGTGCTCACAAGTGCACAGCAACCAAACTGGGGTGGGGGGATGTCCAATTTTTTTTCCCCTGTATCACCCCAGATCAAGCATCCCCACCTTAGCCACACACACTCGTGTGCAAGCACACACAAATACTCACGAACACACAAATGTACACACAACTCCCCATGCAAATTTGTGCACACAACCCCAGATTTGCACAGCTACTGTGTGCCAAATATATGCACACCCCTGCAGACACACAGCCCCCCAGCCCCAGCCACCCCATCCGTGTGCTGGAGCTCTTCCCGTGCCAGGACCTGGGTGCAGCCGAGGCAGGGGCTGCGGGCGCTGAAGCTGCTGCATTTCCTGCACACTCTGGTCTGGCAGTTAGAGCAACCGCTTCCGACCGCGGACACCTCCAAGGAGTGGCTGCCACCACCATCGGTGCCAAAATGCTTTGTTAGCTCCCTGGGACCCTACACCAGCTGGGACCTTCAGAGAGCAGAGCTCATCCCCAGTCCCACGCTGCGGTCTTGCTGATGGGGAATAGCCAGACCCCACTGAGAGCTGGGACTGATCCCTGCCAGAATCTGCAGGAAGCTGGATGTGTGAATTCAGCATGCCTGAGCTATACCTAAGCAAGCAAAACCCCTTATACAGATGCTTGGGAGCCAGCCTGACTCCTTGTATACCCCAGCCTTGATCAAAGGTGATTGGGAACAGCACATGAGCAAGCATCCCTTAAAGAAACCTGAGCCCAAAAAACAGATCTCAAGAAAACTGGGCAGACAGTTGAAGATGGAGAGGAAATCCTTTCCAGCTGCTTGCAGCAGCATCTTTGAGGAGAGCCATGCCATGGAGCAGCAAAGCGCCATTCCTGCAAAATGAGACATTGCAGATGCTGGGGGGGATCAGTCCCAGCTCTCCTGAGGTCTGTCGCCCAGCCTGCTGTAGGCTTGCAGAACATCTGTGTTTCCTCCCACTGCCCTCATTTTGCTTTCTCTAGTTTTGCTTTGAGTTGGCTCCAGGGTTTCTCCTTCTCTCTCTTCTTCCCTTTGAGGGGATGTGCTGCTCAAGGAGGATGCTGGCAGGCCGGATCCTGGCATGCAGGGGCTTGGAGGGCCAGGCAGAGCCCTGGGCCTGCCCGCTCCACCACCCTCAAGACCAAACCCACCACCCATGGCACCAGGGCAGAGCTTTGTTGGAGGGGGCCGAACTCTCTCCTTATGCCTGGAGGGACCATCACGAGGCTCACCAGATGAACAGGCAGCCCAAATCCATGTGGGGCAATACCTGTCCACATCTTCACATCCACCTCCTCCCTTCAATCTCCCCCTGTCGCTTAGCATCCCTCTCCATCCCAGAAGCCCAGGGTAATAGGACAATGTCCCCTCTCTACAGTCCAGCTCAGGCATATCCCCATGTCCAGAGGACCCGATACCCCTTGCCTCAAACCCACCCTGGGACAGGTGGACCTGTCTACTCCAGGGGCTCAACTATCAAAACAGTCCAACCTGGAAGGGAACCTACAGCCATTTGTTGTCCCTAGAGGCAGTGGGTTTCACTGTGATGGGGTGACAGCCATTCACCGTCAATGGCAGCAAAGTCAGAGCGGGGAGAGGGGCACAGAGAGCTGATGTGAGAGCTGTGTCCCAGGAGGATATGGATGCCCAATTCACCATCTGCTTCAAGGAAGGGAAAAAAAGAGGATCCAGGAAACTCTAGATGAGTCAGCCTGCCTCGGTACCCAGAAAACCGCTGGA